CACACACACATTTGCACACTCTACTGCACACACTCATCCAACATCACACAGATTCTCACATTCTCCAGTACATTTAGACTCACACTCCTACATAACACAACATACACACACACACACACACACACACACGCCCATGCTTCCACTCTTCTACACACACTCACATACAGCATTACACAGATTCTCACATACTCCCGCACATTTAGACCCAAATTTTTACATACTAACACACACACATACGCACACATACATACACACACTCCTCTATATATATGAGGTCTGGCTACAAAGTAGAGGCAGTGGGACATAGAGCAAGCACTGAACTGGACTTGGAATCAGGGGATTGGGGTTCTAATCTCAGCTCTGCCACTTACTACCTATGTGACTCAACCTCAGTTTCCTCCTATGTAAAATGGGGGTAAAAAACTTTTGCTTACTTACCTTAAAAAAATTGGTGTGAGGAAAGCATTTTGTAATGCCTAAAGTGCCATAAAAATGGGAATTTATTATTAGTAAGTATTTTGACTTAGTGCTTGGTAGCAAATGAGTTTTTTTCTCCTTCAGAAGTAGTCCCCCTTGGGAGATCACAAACTTACTTCATTCAGATTTATAATCGTTACTCAAAATCCCTTTGAACTCCTCTGAAGTTGACATCTCCTATGTGAATGACCCCCTTGATGCTCCCCTTCTCCTCCACTCACCTATATTTTAAAATTCTCTTCCACATTCACATATTAATACATTAATAAGCTAACATATATGTATATCTATGTACTCATTCTCACATATATTCTCATTCACACTCCCAGTCAGCTCCCCTGCTCCTTAGCTCTTTTAATAGCAAACCAAGCAAAGATGTCTCCCATCCTATCTTTCATCCCTCTACCAAGCCAAATACCCTTTTCCCCCTTTCTATTACTCCCAATGCAGAGCTGCCTCCTGTCCCGGCTTTCTGTGAATTCTCTTCTCAGTTCTGCTTCTCCTTCCAGCTTCAACCCAACCCCCTGTCATTCTGGACCTTTGCCTTCCCCCCTCCTCTCACCATAAATTCCTCCTTACTCTCCCCTAGAATTCTGCTTTGCCAAAGGACCCAGTCCAACCAGATGCCCAAGGGGAGAGAGTAGCCTGAGCCAGGTAACCAGACTCAAGAGGGTGAGAATGCCCATGCTCTAGTCCCAGATCCTGGGGCCTCTGTCAGTGGTGGGGAGGGGAGAAGGGATCTCTCTGAGTAAGGAAAGAAGGATACTGAAGTCCAGAGCAGAGAATATAATCTCCAAAGTGGAGACTGGGAGCCAGGAATTCCATACTTAGACTGCAGGGCTCCATGCCCACGGTGACCCTTCTCATCAAGTGCCATAGAAGTCCATGTGAGCAGCAACTCAAAACTCATTGGATTTGCTTTGGGCTTGGGCTGGCAAATGTATGGAATGATGGCGCTGACCCCTAACAATGCCCATTGAGCAAACAGGAGAAGACATAGCCCTAGCCTTTAAGTGGGCAGTTAAGAAAAGTTAGTTTTCCTGAGGTCATTATTACTACTACAACCCTGGGAGATAAGTAATACAAATATTATTATTTCCATTTTACAGTTGGGAAAACTGAGACTCATGGAAGTTTAAGTCTTACCCATGGTCATATAGTTAGCTGCAAGTAACAAAATGAGGATTTAAACCTAAGCCACCTGACCAGCTCTCTTTTTATTATTCCATACTGTCACTAAAGGATGTAGGCATTGCAGGGTTACAAGTGGGATGACACTGGTTCTGGTCTCAACACCTGGGCCTAATCTTCTTTGAGAAAACATATAGTGTGGTGGAAAGAACACTGGGGTTAAGAGTTGGATAACATGAGTCTATGGCTTACCTCTTCCTCTCACTAGCCATGTGAGCTTGGGCAAGTCACTTTCCCAATTTGGGCCTCAGTTTGCTCATCTGTAAAAGGAGGAGAATGAATTAGATGAACTTCTTTTCCAGCTCCTATGGTTCTCATGGGGTTATTTTTAACAGTGGGAGAGATTCTGAGGCTGGAGATCCCCCCATCTTTATTCTTCACTATCCCCTCAAAGTAGAGAAACGGATTTCTAGAGAGGATCAAGGACAGAAGAGAATCCTAATGCCCTCTTATTCCCAATGAAAGGCCCAGATGCAGAAGACAGATTAACCTAAGTTGGTCATCTAGTGTCTTCTTCTAGACAAGGTGATCTCTTCAATCACCCCAGTGACTGGAATAGAAAAGAGATAGCACCTGCAATGTGCTAAGCATTATTCTTGTTTCCCAAATATTATCTCATTTGATGCTCTCAACAACCCTGTGAGGTTGGTGCTATTATTATTCTCATCTTATAGCTGAGGAAACTGAGGCAGACAGAGGTGAAGTGACTTGCCTAGGGTCACACAGGTCCCACTACACAGTCCGCTATGCCACCATCTGCCTCTAGTTCTTCTCATTTCCTTGTTAGAGGGTCTCTTCTAACAAGACGTCCTTCCTGGTGTACAATATCAGCCCCTTCCTTTTCACCCTCTCCTCGTGCACCATAGATAGCTCTTCAGAGAGCTAAAACTAAGGCTTCATCATCCCTCTGCACCTCCAACCTTCTTTCTTTTCTTTTTTACTTTTATTTTCTCCAGGCTATATTACCGGGGAATCATTTGCAGGGGGAAGGGAGGGCACGAAGTAGGGGTGGTGCAGAGAACATATGGGCTCTGCTCTACCTCCAGCAGGCATGTCTGTTCGGAAGTGGGCTGTGCCCCCACCGGATCCCTGTAATGGAAAATCCCAGCGGCATAGCAGGAAGGGGGGCCAGTTATTTGGGGAATTCGGTCAGGGGCCTTGAACACAGAGATCGGATTTGCCAGAGAGAACAGGCGATAATCTCTCTGTGGGGAGCTCCCCTCTGGAGTCAGAGACAGACCTGACTCAGCCTTGGAGGGGCCCATGCTCCCTAGGACCTCAGCCCCTGTGACATACTCCTCCTTGCTTTGTTTCTCACTCTTCCCTCTCCCTCTGCCCAAAATGCAATCATTCTCTTTGTAGGTATCTCAGTCCCTCACTCTATCTGGAGAACCAGGGATGGACTACTATAAATTCACAACCCCTCTCCCCCTCCCTACTTTCACCCAACTCCCATGCCAGAAGAAGGAAAAGTCTGTCAGGAGACAGTAGGTATTCTTTTACCTTCCTTCTCTTCCCTCTTAGCTCTTTTCTTCATCCATCTCTCTGTACCCCTGAAAGCAAAAATGATGTTCCCAGACTCTAGGGGCCAGTGGACCCCATTCAAGGGTCATTTAATCTATCCTGCCTCTAGGATGCACACCATCAGCCTCGATCCAGTTAAAGGAATCCCTACCAGAGATTACTCATTCTCCATCAGTAAAGACACCTGGGCTCAAAGACTGGATTTAGATGACCATGAGCAAGTCATCTCACTTCAGCATTGGTTTCCTCATCTGTAAAACTGCATTGGATGAAAAGACCTCTAAGGACCCTTCCAGTTCTAAATTCTCTGACCTGTTGCAGAATCTTATGTTCGTTACTCTCCAGTAGGAAAGTCTTAATGTCTAACCTCCATCATTCGAGCTGTAGCATTTTAGCTCTTTCTCTGATGGGGTCCTCACTGGAAATAACATAATAGTAATAGTCAACATTTTTATAACACATTAAGGTCTGCAAAGCACTTTACAAATATCTCCTTTTATCCTCATAAAAACCATAGGAAGTAGGTGCCATTATTATTCCCATTTTACAGATGAGGAAATGGAGGCCGATAGTGGTAAAGTGACTTGTCCAGGGTCACACAACTAGGAAGTGTTTGAGACCACATTTGAATTCAAGGCTTCCTAACTCTAGGTCCAGTGCTCTATCTAGTTGTGCCACTGGGCTGCCTCACTTACCCTGGTGCCATTTTGTAAATTCAAAAGTTGTTATCAAGTTGATTTTCTGACCCCCTTCCTATTCTCCATTTCTCCTTACTCTTTAGTGACTCCTTCCCATTCCCCCTTCCTAACTCACCTCTCCAAGCATTCTCTCCCTCTTGATTCTATCCCAAATGCCAAAACAGGGACTGAGCATTAAAACTCTTGAATTCTAAGGGAAAGGAACAGGAAAAGAGGTCTACCTCATATACCACCCAACTGAAACGAATCCAGGGGCACCCAGGTATAATCTGTGGCCTTGGTCTACCCTTCCCACATCATCCCTCCATCTTGAGTCCTGCCTGCTCTCCTGGGAAGATTAGATACAGGATTTGGAGGTCCTTGTCAGTGTTTCGGGAGCTGGTGAGGAAGGCAGATGTGTCTACTTTTTAACCCTTGTTAGAGGGCTGGGGAAGCCCTTGACCCCCCATCTCTGGGCCTGGGGCACCTTTTCAAGAGGCTGCTCCTGTTTCCATATCTGGTCTTTCCTTCAATGTGCAAAGGCATCTCATGATCTAATGAACAGAGTGCTGGATATGAATCCTGGTCCTGACTGTACTACTAGCCTGCTGTGTGAACTTGGGCGAGTCACTTAGCCAGTTTCTTCATTTGTAAAATGACTAACTTTGGGCTAGGCAGTCTCCTCCAGCTCTAAAATTATATAATTCTGTAGACTCCTATATAGCTGGGGGCTCTGGGTCCCCAGTTCCTCTCCCCCACTACACCCCACTCCCCTCCTTTCTCTTTCCTTTTCATGGGGCTTGAGGGCTGAGGATCTAAATGAACAGACCTCCCCCTCCAGTCCTTTCTGTTCTAGGACAACTATTTTGAAGAAGTTCCACCTTCTCCTCATCTCCAGCCTCCCCCAAGATCCCCCCACTCTCTTGCTTCTCTCTGTTGGTGGCTGCCAAAGGCAAGTCGGGGAGACAGAGAGAAATTGGGGAGGGAGGGCAACCATCAGGACAAGAGGCACTAAGGGGCTGGGGGGAGGAGCCCTCAGGGATCCTATTTCAACAAGCGGCTCTTTCCCGAGCAGGAGGGGGGCGAGAGGGGGAGAGAGACCTATTTAAAGCTACCCTGTTACTTCGGCTGTCTCTGTCCTTCTGACTCAATCTCCGCCTGTCCGAGTTGACGATCCTTCCCATTGGCCTCTCCGTTCTCAGTCCCAGCAGCTCCTCTGCCCCAAGATGGGGCGCGGGGTGAGTACCCCTGAAACCCACCCCCTCTGCTACCATGTCTCTTACCAAGCATGGAGCTCTGAGGAGGGAAAGCTGGTAAAACGGGGACCAAGGATGGGGGTGGAGAAGAGAGAGTTGGATGTGGTAAGGAAGACCCAGGGAGGCGATTCAGAGGGGGGCACACACACACACTCACACACATACACACACATACACACACGCACTCACACATGAACTCATCCCCTTCACACAACTTCATTCACGTTCCAGGCATAGACCCCATCTCCCATGCTCCAGTCCAGCCTGAACTAATCCTCTTCCTAACACTCCTGTATCCCCATTCACTTGCTGTTCTTCTTTCTCCCACCCTAAGTAGCCAACTGAAAGGTCATCTGGTCCAGTTTGTTCCCAGGACAGCCCCCTGGGACTGCCAGTCAGAGAGGGTAGAGAACACTTTGGCTTCTTGAGGGCTGGGAGGGGCGAAAGCTATAGGAATTCAGCATCTCATTCCCTGGGTAGCCAAGCAGCTCTGGACACCCCATTCCCTGGGCACTGAGTGCCAGGGACAGCTGGGAGATGTGGGGGGGAGGAGTGAAGGCCCCCGCCATGTCCTGGGCAGCATTGTCCTTGGGCTTAGGGCTATGCTCAGCAAGGATTTTCCCAGTGGTTAGTGAGAGGAATCTGCCCCCTTGTCTCTGCCCATGGCATTCTCAGGCAAAAAGAATGCCTGCTGAGCAAATTAAGACCTCCTCTGGGCACTATCTTTTGAACCCCCATGGGAGACATGGTCTGAGTTTAAATTCCATCTGTGGAGAACTGACCTACCCCCTTAAACATCACAGCACTACCAACCCCTTTCGTCTGAGAAAGGGCATAGTAAAGGATGGGAGGCTTCTAGGGAAAACCGGGAGCCAGTGGTGAGAAGTGGAAAGGGTCTCTCTCTGCTGAGACTTCCCAGAGGACAAGGGGACCATGAAGGGTCATGCCAGGACACATCTGAGTTCAACAGCTGAGAAAGCTGTGGGGTGGGGACACCAGGGTTCCTGGGCTTGGATAAGAGCTATAAATAGATAGTGAGGGAATCACAATGTGTGTGTGTGGCCCTGTATTTCTATGTCCACAAATGCATCTGTGTGTGTATATGTATATATGTGCATGTACAAGTGGGAGGATGTGCATTGGTATCTGAGTCTTTGTGAAGTATGTCAGTGGAACTCCGCTTGTAACAAGGCCCAAGTGTAACTGCCATCCTGCCTCGGTGTGTGAATGAGTGTGTGTGTGTGTGTGTGTGTGTGTATGAGTGTGTGTGTGCTTGTATGCACATTAGTGTCTCAGATACAGAAATGTCTTTGGGACATTAGATGTCTTTGGGAGCTTATGTAGTCCTGAGCCCTGAGTCTTCAGCTGAGCTTTGGATTCTATAATAACAGGAGGAATGAGTTCCAGGGAGCCTGCCAGGAGCATTTGGTATAAAAAGTAGATGGGAGATAATTCAAGGATGGGGAGAGGGTAGGCAATAGGCCTCACAGGCTGGGAAGACAAGTTCTCCAAATGATTTTCATGTTAGGACGCTCGAGTTTTCTTCCAGTCCAAGAGGTACTGCTAGGAAGACTGGGGACCCAGGAATGCCAAGTTACAGGAAAACGGGTTTTATGGAAGCTGTCCAATTCTACAGCCCGGTGGCTAGCTCAGCTTTATTCCCCCACCTCCCCAGTGTCTCTGGATGACCCCAAAACTCCCCCTTTAGTGGTTTAAGTTGTGATAATAGCCAGGTGGGGAAGGAAAACAGGTTCTGTTTCAGCTGAAAGAGGCAGGGTGAGATGAGGGTGGCTGCCGGTTGGATTCTAGCCCATCTGGAAGCACCACCCTGTTCTCTGCAGTAGGACAGACTCCCCAGACTCTGGTTTCTAGGGTGCTGCACCCCAGTCCAGAGTTGTCAACTTCCCATTAGTCCTCTAAGGGGAGAGTCCTACTGGTCCCCAGCCCAGGGCTGGTCTCATCTCATCACCCCACAGCCATGAGGGATGGCCGGGGAGGTGGGGGAGGGATAACAGTGTTAGGAGGGGGATGCCAGCCCTCTCCAGCTGCAGTGGGGAGGTAGGGTGGGGGAGCAGATTGGGCTGATTTCCAGCCGCCCCCGCTCTGTCCCAGCCTCTGGCTTTCTCAGAAAGAACTCTCTGTTCTCCTTCCGCATTCAGGACCCTGAGAAGGGGAGAGTGGTAAAGGGGAGGGGGGTTAAGAGGCAGAGGGGTCCTTCCTTCCTCTCTCCTTTTCTTCCCTAGGCTGCCGTTGGCCCTGACTCTCTGCGGGCTCCTGGCTCCAGAGCCTGAGATGCCTGCCAGGACAGGAGGAGGGGGGAGAGGGGGCAGTCTGTCCCAAGCTCAAGGCCTGCTGGGGAATGGAGTGGGATGGTGGGGGAGAAAGGAGGAGCTGCTGAGAGCAGACTGCATCCTATGGCCAAAAGTTTCTAGGCTAGTGATTTTTTTTTTTTAAAAATACACACTTGAATGTGATTATTTCTTTTGTGTCAAAATAGGTATTAAATGTTCGTAACCTCAGTCTTTGTCTCTCCACCCCAAGTACCTTTCCCTAAAGAGTCTGTCCAGCTTAGAGAAACTACTGTTTGGTCTGCTACCTGAATCAATCCTTAATCAATGCCCTCTTGCCTCCCCAGCCAGCCACCTGCCTCCCACAAAGTATAAGGTCAGAGAGTTCAAAGAACTAATGTTCTCATTTATAAAATCAGTCCAATTTGAAAAGTTGTTGGCAGGTCCTCCTAGGAAATATGGGGAAGGGAAAGGTAGGACTAAGGAGGAACCGATCACAAACCCCTCCTCATAGTGCTGAGGGAGGAAACTGAGGCATGGAGGTGGAAAGAATCTGGGTAACTTCTTAACAAGGTTGAATCAGGCCTCTAGAATGGAGCCAAGAAGTCCTGACTTCCACCAAGCCTTCTCTGCCCAGCTTTCTCACCACAAGGTCACTGCGTCCCTGAGTGGGGGTGGGGAGAACAGGACAGGGGGTAGTTGAAGTGAAAAAGATCCCTTTCCGGTGAGTTATTGTGCCCACACCGGAGCTGAGTCACCCCATATGCTTTCACTATTCCCGAAACATGCCAAAGTGGACTTCTGAGCTGAGGCCACCCTGGAGGGAAATGTTCCTGACCTTGGGACACAATCTTTTCAACTTGGACCCCAGGAGCCCCGTGGATCCTCCTGTGACCCAAGCCTGTTATTCTAAAGACCAGTCTACCTAATGGTACCTTAGCACTGCCCTGATCTTAGTCCAGTGCCTGGCATATAGTACTTAAGAAATACTTGTTGGTTTGACTGTTATTTGACTAATGGGATCCCAGAGGCTGGATCCTGAACCTGGAAATTCTTATATTTGGGGAATATCAGGGCTCATTTCTCACACCACTCATGTCTCTGAGTAGAAATGTGACTGACTGAACCAAAATGAGGACACGGGACTTAAGGGATCTCTGGGTGTTACCATATCCCAGGAAAGCGAGGTGAAAATGGTAGCCAAGGGCAGGCTTTCAGAGGAAACAGGGCTCCCAGAAGAAACACCCTACACTTTTGCCATTCCCCAGATTCCACTCCTCCATTCCTCAGACCTCTCGCCCCTCTCATATCACTGGCCTACTCTCTCAGACTTGTCAGTCATAAACTCTGATCCTCTTCTCCCATAACCCCTCAGACAGAACTTCCCACTCCACTCACCCTTGTCTCTCCCAAAGCCTGTCTCTTCTCCAGCACTCACTTCCCTTGTTTCTCTCTCAGATGCCCCCAGATGGTCCCAGTCAAAGGACAGAGAAACCCCAGGGCCAAATACAGTCCTCTTTCTTGCCACCTTCTACTTTTCTCTTAAACAGCCTAGGATTTCCTCCAGGCTTGATTTCATCAAGTGCTTTGAGGACATCTTTATCTTTGTAGCTATCCCCTGTTCTTTGCCCTAGCAAATACTTAATAAACCTTTACTGAATTGGATTGAATTCATAGGATCATAGAGGTAGAATGAACCTTAGATATCACTTAGCACAAATGACCCCTTTATTTTAACAGGTGAGGAAAACTCACAGGGGTAAAATTACTTTCCAAGGTCACATATGTAATACATAGCAAAATCTGGGATCAAACCCAGGTCCTCTTGACTCCAAATCCTGTACTCATTCCACTGTACTCCACCTCCTTCAGAACCTCATAGAGGGGCAGTTAGGTGGTACTGACCCTGGAGTCAGGAGGACCTGAGTTCAAATCCGACCTCAGATACTGTACAAGCTATGTAAAGAGCAAGTCAATCAACCCAGATTGCCTCCAAAAAAACAGATTCTCATAGAAAAGCCTATTTTTGGATCAGCGTCCTTATCCTTAAGGGAAGCAGTCCCTGTCTCCTTTCTTCCCTAGAAGATTCTTCCCTTCTAATTCCCTGGAATCATTTTACTCCTATCCTAGGCTGGCCGAGAGTACTCGCCTGCCGCCACCACCACAGAAAATGGAGGCGGCAAAAAGAAGCAAAAAGAAAAGGAACTGGATGAGTTGAAGAAGGAAGTGGCCATGGTGAGGACAACTGCCTGCCCTGGGACCTGGCCTGTCTTTTCCATCCTTTGATATGGTTCATTCCTAAAGGGGGGAGAGCTGTGTCATTCTGAGGGATGGCTACTAGAAAAGTCCTGGGTTCCTTTCATGCCACAGGTCCCTCAAAACCACTTGCCTGAATTCTTTTCTTCCCTCATAGTAATTGCCTGCTTTCTCCTCAGGATGATCACAAGCTGTCCCTGGATGAGTTGGGCCGAAAGTATCAGGTAGACCTATCCAAGGTGAGTTGAAGGATTCCCTTGGGGGTAGGGAGAGGAGCCCCTACCTTTGCTCCTGGTCTCCCTCACTCACTGAGGGGAATATCCTTTAGCATAAGATGGTCCTTATCCTCTCAGGGTTACAGTCTAGGAAGGGTTTACAGAGTGTTAGAACTAGGAATGGAGAAGCCCAAAGAGATTGATTGACTTGCCCAGAACCATTGTGTCTGGTCTCTTGATTTCAGTGCCCTTCCCACCTTGCTGTCAATCCATGTATGAGATGATAGTAGAACAAGGAGGTGTTGGGGAGAAGCTTCAGAGGCAAATTTAGTCTTAAAGTAAGGGGTGGGGGGAATACTCTAATGATTAAAGCTAGTCAAAAGTAGATAGGGAAAAAAAAGAATTGTTAAAAAAAATATAGATCGGGCTTTCCTAGGGAATAATAGATTCCCCCTCTGGCAGAGGCACAGTGATGCTCCATTGGGCAAGCTATAAAGGGGATTTCTGTTTAAGTGCAGATTGGACTATGTAATTCCTGGAATCTCCTCTAGCACCCAGATTCTGTAGTTCTGTCAAATGATAAACTGTGTGGTCCTGACTCCATGTACAACAGATTTCTGCTCAACTTCCCCATTGGGTGGAAAAGAAGAGCCGAGGGGAGAAGCCTCTTGAGTTGCCTTCCCTGGGAGCCCTATCCTGCAGGTCTTTGGTCCCGTCTATGGCTGTCCCAAGTCTGGCCCTGACTCTGCGGAGTGCTTGGACATCTTTACTCTGAGGGCATTAAACTAGGGAACAGAGGTGGGAAGAAAAGAAGGGATTGGGCCTAGCAGGGAAAACCAGAGATGGAGGGGCAGAGAGGAAAGGAAGAAGGGAGGATGAAGAAAGGAGAAAGGGTAAGAGTCAAGAGGAGAAGTGATAGGAAGTGGTAAGGTATCTCTCTTACCAAGACAGCCTGCTCCATTCTTCGATACAGAATCATATAGAATGATTAAACAGGAAAGGACCTTAGAGATCACTGAGTCCTTTTATGATCCTTTTATCATCTTTCTACAGGGCCTCACCAACCAGCGGGCACAAGATATCTTGGCCCGGGATGGGCCTAACGCTCTGACTCCGCCACCCACCACCCCTGAATGGGTCAAATTCTGTCGGCAGCTCTTTGGGGGCTTTTCCATCCTGCTCTGGATTGGGGCCCTGCTCTGTTTCCTGGCTTATGGCATCCAGGCAGCCATGGAAGACGAGCCCTCCAATGACAATGTGAGCCTACTGTCCTGTGTGGTTGACTCTGCCTTTTAGCCCTTCTTCTCCTGGAGCCCCTAAATCCCCAAACTCCAGCACTCAACTCCAGAGCTGAGTTCTTCATTTACAGAGACTGGGACCTAGCCAGGCAGTGACTTAGAGATGAAGCTGGCTCCTGAGCTGATGCTTAAAAAAACCATCAAAACAAGCCTCATATACTTGTGGACAGCAACTCATAAACCCTACTACCACTGCCAAGGCAAAGTGATAGGAATAATAATAATGATATTAATAATAACAACAACAAATAAGACATTATAGCATAGTGGGTAAAACACAGGACTTGGAATCAGGAAGAGACCTGGGTTCAAATGCTATCACAGATGTTTAGTCATCTGTGTGACCTTAGGTGTCACTTAACCTTTCAGCTTCAGTTTCATCTGTAAAATGAATATAAAAATAGGTTATTGAGAAGATTAAATGACATAAAGCCTTTAGGCAAACTATAAAGTGGTATAGAAATGGAAGCTTTTAGTAATAACACCTCACATTTCTATAGCACTTGAAAGTTTGCTAAGCACTTTTCTTGCAATATCCCTGTTCAATAGGTAGAGGAAAATAGTATTTCCATGGAAACCGAGGCACTGAAAGGTTAAGTGATTTGCCCAGGATCACACAGCTGGGAAGTAGAAGAGGGGGAGTTCCAAGCCTAGGGGGTCTGACCATCCATTATGCCCTGTTGCTTCTAGGATTAGCCCCTTCCTTATAGTCATTTGTTGCCAATTCACTCCTTAGCCATGACTTTGCTCTCAGCTTAATATGTCCCCAGCCCTATCAACCCTCCAGGCTTAGGGTCAGGAAGGGGAATTCCCTCTATCCTCACTCCCACCTTCTAAGGTAAGTGGGAACCAAGGCTCTCTAGTGGGGAAAAATTGTACTCAGGATACATTTTTAAGTTGAATTTGCATTAACATTTTTCTATCACTTTAAGGCTAGACAACCAACAAAATAATAAATCAAGACCTGATTTGTAGCATTTTCTGATTTCCAAGATGTAATTACTCATACTGAAAATTTAACAATCTCTCACAAGCCCAAGCTGCCTCCAACACGCCCCCAGAACCAGAAACCTTATGCTTTGCATAAGATGATTATATTCTGCAAGGCTATCTGCTCCTACCCTAAAGCAGCTGCTTTTCCTGGGATCAGGTAGAAATTAACACTTTTCTCCTGCTTTAGTTATACCTGGGCGTGGTCCTGGCAGCCGTGGTCATTGTCACTGGCTGTTTCTCCTACTACCAGGAGGCCAAGAGCTCCAAGATCATGGATTCCTTCAAGAACATGGTGCCACAGGTAGATAGAAGACAGGGTTGAATTTAGGATTGGATTTGTGAGTTTCTGAGGGATATGATCCCTTCCCTGTTTCCCCTCCTCTCCCATATGGTAACTTAGTGAGTGGAAGCCTCATTATCTCTTCAAGTCATGATAAAGTTCTGAAGATAGATGGGGAGTAGGTGGGTAAGGGTGTGGAAAGGTGGGAATGGGGAGGAAGGGAATAAAAGAACGAATGGAGGTCTGGATGGCACAGATGCCCCCACTCTCTTCTCATAGCAAGCCCTAGTGGTTCGAGAGGGTGAAAAAATGCAGATCAATGCTGAGGAAGTGGTGGTAGGAGACCTGGTAGAGGTAAAGGGTGGAGATCGTGTCCCTGCTGACCTCCGGATCATCTCTTCTCATGGTTGCAAGGTGAGTAGGTGGGGACCAGGTTGACTGTGAATGGCCATATTGATTAGAGTTGAGTGGATTACAGATGATGGAGACAGGTCAGAGTTAACCAACTGTCATCCTATCTCATCCTATCAGTACAGTGTCTTATTCTCCTGTTATTTATTCTATCTGTATAGCTGTGATGACTAAATCTTAATGTCTTGAACATGAAATCCAATTGGATGTCACCTCATAGGTTCAAATCCTGTTTAAGGGTTGCTACCTACTCCACTGAGATCTTGTGAAAAAAGCACTTTGTAAACTTTAAGATACACTATTAAAGTGAGCTGTTAGTACATTTTAAATTATTCTAGTGAAATAAACATGGCCTCGTGGCTATAGAGAAATGTGGGCTAGACAACATGAACATTGGTAGATGTGAATAATCAGACCCAAAGATCACATCATAAATTTGGAGCTGGAAGAGACCTTTGAGACCACTTAGTCCAAGATTCCAACCCAGGTCTCTCCATTCCAAGGCCTGGAATTTAACAACAGAATTCCAGAATTGGGAAAGACCTCAGACACTATCTAGTCCCACCTATGCCTGAGAAATAATCCTCTCTATAACATACCTAACAAATAGTAATCCAACTTTGCTTGAAGACCTCTTAATGAAGAGGAAAATACTGCCTTCTGGGGCATCCCATTCTACTTTAGGCTAGCTAGCCCATTCCACTTTGAGCTAGCTTAAATTGTTAGGAAGTATTCCTTACATCAAGTCTAAATTTGTGTCTTCAATTTTCATCCCTACCACTTAGTTTTGCCCTTGGGAACCAAGCAGAATAGGTCTAATCCCTCTTCCATATGACTGTCCTTAAAATCCTTGAAGACAACTATCATATTCTTCCTAAGTCTTCTCTTCTATAAGATTCTCAAGATAATCTTTCTATACAATTATCATGAGACCCCTATACAACCTTGTTACTCTTCTCTGGACTCTCTCCAGTTTATCAATGTCCTGAATCATGGCACAACCTTCCAGATGTAGCCTGACCAAGATCAGATGGTGGCCCCGCCATCTCTCATCAGGCTTTGACACTACACCTCTTAATTCAGCCAATGATCTCATTCAGCTCCTTGATTTTTATATCACAGTGCTGACTCATATGAAGCTTGCACTTCCGTTAAGCACTCTGATCATTTTCAGAATGTTTTTTTACCTCATCTTATACTTACAAAACTGATTTTTTTAACCCAAATGTTAAGATTTTACATTTCATTTGATGAAATTTCTTCTTCTTAGATTTGGCACAGCATTCTATTTCGTCGGGACCCTTTTGGGATCCTGACTCTGCAACTTTTGTATTAGCTTATCCTTCCTAGCTTTGTTTCATCTGTACATTTGATAAGCATACCATTTATGCCTTTATTCAAGACACTGATAAAGCCATTAAACAGTGCCAACCAGACACAGGGGAAAAAGCACAGTTCCCTGGGGAACTCCACCACTGCTACTTTCAGGGAGACGGAGTGGAAAAATGGAATGCAAGCACAGGTTTTCTGATTACAGACCTGGTGTTCTTTTTACTGAATAAGGCTGTTTCTAAGATGTCTTTGGCTATATTTATCTGTGACCTAGGAGATTTGGGCTTTTATCTGTGTAAATAAGGGCAACTAGGTGGCCCAGTAAATAGAGTACCGGGCTTAGAGACAGAAAGGCTCATCTTCCTGAGTTCAAATGGCCTTAGACACCTACAACTGTGTGACCCTGGGCAAGTTACTTAATCTTGTTTGCCTCAGTTTCTTCCTGAGTAAAATGAGCTAGAGAAAGAAACAGCAAACCACTCCAGTATCTTTGCCAAGCAAATCCCAAATGGGGTCAAAAGAGTCAGACACAACTGAAACAAGTGAACGACAACAACTGTGTAAATGCAGGTCTATGGGATGAGTCTTCTTACTGTCTCTTTATCCTCAGGTGGACAATTCATCCCTGACAGGGGAGTCAGAACCACAGACCCGTTCCCCTGAATTTACTCATGAGAATCCCTTGGAGACCCGAAATATCTGTTTCTTCTCTACCAACTGTGTGGAAGGTGAGAAGCATAGCCAGAATGGGTGCCCTAGAAGCTCTACAAAGAAATATCTGACAGTGGAGAGTGAATAGTACTTCCAGATGAGCCCCATCCCAATATCAACAAGGTTGTCCCCACCCCCTAATAAACAAGTAAGGAAAGCCTCACAGAGAGTGATCTGGACTCAGCTGTGATGCTGTCCTCCTCCTCATCTGGAATAGTTCTTCACAAGTGGTAGAACTGTGAGGCGAGAAACAGAGAACAATGCACCTCGATAGCTTTGGGGAACCAGCAGAGGAAACAGCAGCATGGTATAATGGGGGTGATTGCTGGTCTTTGAGTCAGGCAATCTGACTGTGGACCCTGGCTTTAGCACTTAACAACTGTGTGATTGTGAACAAGTCACTTAGATTCTATGAGCATCATAGGACCAAAGGTTTAGAGCTGGAAAGGACCTGAGTTCATCTGGTCCTACCCCTAGGTGAGGGAACTGAGGCCCGGAGAAGTGAGATTATTCGCGTAAGTCATTCAGGTAGTAAGCAACAAAACAAGGATTCTAGCCCAGGTACTCAGAACTCTGGTGCTCTTTCCATGGAACCATATTGTGTCCTTAGCTTTGACATCTGTAAGACGGGAGTGATAATACCTTCACTACCTCCCTAATGGGGAGGAAGTGCTTTGTAAACCATAAAGTACAATATAAAAAGGAGCTAGAGGTTGAATGCAGAGAAGGGGACATCCCCAGCTCATAGGAAATAGAACTGGGAGGGATCTTGGGAATCATTTAGTCCTGTGGTATCAGACTCAAATAGAAATTGAGGCCACCAATTCATACATAAGGATTTCTGCAGAAGGCATACTGACTTCATTTTAAAATGTAATTTTTTCTGTTTCATTTTATTTTTATTTACTTTGTTAGTTATATTTAAATTTGACTATGTGCATTTGGGAAGCTAGTGGGCCATGTGTTTGACATCTCTGATCTAGTCTAACCCCCCTCATTTAACACTGAGGCCTAGAAAAGCAAAATGACTAGTAATGAACAAAATAGGGATTTGAGCCCAGCATCTCTGACTCTAAATCTGTTAAATCACATCAGAATTGTCTCAGTCTCTTTTGGCGTCTGCAGTCTCATTTCCTCTTACCTGTGGCCCCCTTGTCTTTGTCAGAAACGTGACCAGGAGTAGAATCTGGTTTCTCTAGGCTAAGAGATAGCCCAGACAGAGGTAAACAGAGTGAGGCTGGCATTGCCCGGGCACAGAAAGCAGAAAAAGACCCGGGATGCTTTCAATTATTGAACCCAGTAGGGGGCAGGAGGCAGGGCAGCAGGGCTGACTCTTACTCTCCTGACTTTCACCCTGAACCTTTAGTGACTTTTGAGAGCCTCTAGAAGGAAGGTCATGAGCACTGGGGACCCAGAACCAAACATCTCCCAGGGGGTCTTGGGTTTGTCTGGGGTTATCTCTTTCCTCAACTTGAATCTATGCCCTTATCCCAGAGAAAGTAACAAAAGTGGGATTTACCTCTTTCCAACTTAATCAGAGCCCCAGACCAGAAGGGAGCCGTAGTTGAGGAGGGGTAAGGAGCAGCTATTGGATTGGGGAACCCTTCACATACCAGGGGAAGAACTCTGCATCACTTCTAGGCTGTATCCAAGTTATTTGCCAAACCCTACAGGCTTTTTCTCTCCCAAAGACATCACTGTCTGGTATAGATATACAGATTGTATTCATTCTGTCTTTGAGAACAAAGATCATGAGATTTAGAAGAATTTGAGGGATTATCTAAACCAACCCCCTCATTTCACACCTGAAAAAACTGAAGGCCAGATTGGGGAAAAGCCTGCTCACGATCATACAGTTTAGTAAGTAGGCGCTGAGCCAGGCTTTAAAACGAGTCTCCTGACTCTGAAATCCAGAGCTCCTCTGGAGATATCAGATGTGAAACTGATCCTGATAACTTCAGTGCTCTCAGCCTGGATCAGCTGCTCCCTAAAAGCCCCAGGGGACATAGGCCCCAGTCCAGACTTAGCAGTTTTAGGAATCTGTGACCTCACTGGCCATCTAGTCCTTTTCATTTCAGTCTGATAAGAGGGCAAAGGGAAAGGTCACTCCAGGAAAGGATTAAAGGTATAGGAAGAGGTTGGAGAAGGAAGGTGATTGGACCTTGGGCCTCTTAAAGTAAAATTTGGTGGCATATAATTCTTTCCTGATCCATATATTTCATAGAGATACCTGGAGCTCATAGGCTTATTGGTTGGTAGGTAGTATAGTGGTTAGGCAAGTGTGTTTGGAGTCAGACACTTGCTAGCTGTTTGACAGTGGGCAAAGGCACTTAACCTCAATTTCCTCATCTGTAAAATGGGTATAAAAATAGCACCTGCCTCCTAGAATTGTTGTGAGGATTAAATGAGATAATATGTGTAGCGCAATCCTTAAAGCATTATATAAATGTTATTATTATAAAACAGGAAGGGACCTTAGAAGTTACTGAATTTTCCCTTCCCCCTCATCTTCCAGATGAGGAAACTGACCCCCAAATTCACACAATGATTTGGGGAAGCAGACCCAGACATTTTGACTTTATATTCTCTTTCCCACTGTAACACAAGCTCTGTTTATATTAAACATCATTAATTGATTTTGCAAAACACAATATTAGGCAAAACACTGCTGCAGAGGGCAGTGAGTTCCAAAGGAACGTGTTATAAATTTTATGTAGGGGGAACTAATTAGTTGAGCACCATTAGAGTTGGGCCCACGACTTTTGGACCACAATGTATCAAAAATTTTATTTCGAGGCAATGTTAGTTGAGGAAACATTATGCAGAATATGCCTAGATTCAGTGTCTCTGTATGCTTTTATCTTGAAGAAGGATTCTGGAGTTACAATGATGACCTTTAACATAATTTGTATTTTTTCTCAATCTATACCTTTTCCCCTAGACCCAGTTAATAGCCTGTGTTAATGTGCTGAGTTTTTGCCATTTGCATTGAGTCTACTATAGTTTGTGCTTATTTGTTTTTTCAGAAAAGCTTGGCAAAATATTCCTCTCCCACCCCCACCTCCTTTTAAAACTCTGGCTTAGAAGAACAGGCAAAGGTTTCTTAGACATTCATCTAGTGAGTTCTTAGTACTGCCTGTGCAATGCCTGACTTCTAACAGCAAGGCCCCTTCAGGAAGATTCCCTTGTTTGTCTGAGGCATGAGGAAAGGCCGTGATAATCATTGTTGCCAGTGTCATTCTGTTATTATTGCTGACAAGCAATATCCAAGCTGAACTTTTTTTTAATCTCCTACAATTTACAGCTTTTCCATCATTCGCAACATTTCTTTGTAGGTGCCAGAAAAATGTGAGAAGGGGGCTACACTGAATTTAGGTAAGAGGAGGTGGGCAGTTATCAGCATCATAGAATCTCAGAATTGGAAGGGGCTCCAGACGCATCCTAGTTCAATCAGTACCTTTCTGCAGAGTGATAGATTAGTGGAGCAGGACTGGGGTATACCTCCCATCTACCTGACCTCACTAACCAGTTGTGCTATAAGGCAGCAAGGTGCTTACAACCCCCTTAGGAAAGTATAATGGAGGGCAGCTAGGTGGTGCAGTGGATAGAGCACCGGGACTGCAGTCAGGAGGACCAGAGTTCGAATGTGACCTCAGACACTTACTAGCTATGTGACCCTGGACAAGTCACTTAACCCCGATTGCTCTCAAAACAAAAAGGAAGGTTTGATGGAAAGATCTCTGTAACAGAAGGCAGGAGACCTGGGCTCTCATCTCAACCCTGTCACTGACCCACTGTCTGATCCAAGGCAAGTCATTTTTCCTTGGCTTCAACTGTTAAATGATTGGAGCAGTTGATTTCTAAGTCCCCTTCTAGCCCTCATGTTCATTTGGATTTTTTTTTTTTTGTATCTGAGTAATACCCCTAGTACGAAGGCCCCTCCCCCCATAGTGTGCCCTGATGACCTGATCCAGGTGTCCCCTCCTTGTATGCAGGCACGGCCCGGGGCATTGTGATAGCTACCGGTGACAGGACTGTGATGGGCCGCATTGCCACGCTGGCCTCGGGCTTGGAGGTTGGTCGCACACCCATTGCCATGGAGATCGAGCACTTCATCCAACTGATCACTGGAGTGGCTGTCTTCCTTGGGGTCTCCTTCTTTGTGCTCTCCCTCATCCTGGGCTACAGCTGGCTGGAGGCCGTCATCTTCCTCATTGGCATCATCGTGGCCAATGTGCCCGAGGGGCTCCTGGCTACTGTCACTGTGAGTGGGTAGGGCAGGGAAGGGACAACAGTGTGAATAGAGATGGGGTTGCCATTTTACTAACAGGTGTGGGTGCTCATACACATGTTGCTCTGTGAGTCTTTGTTGATTTGACTTGAACAGAAATTCTTTTGGGCACCTGGTACGACAGAACCTCAGTGCCTGGGACAGTGTTGTACTATACAAGCCTTTGACAGCATAGCAGGAGTGTGCCTTTACCTAGCAAATTATAGTTACAAAGGGAAGAGACAGTGTAGTGTTGTGAAAAGCATGTTGGACTTTCAGTTAGAAGACCCAGGTTCTAATTTCAACTCTGACATTCCTCTCTGAGATTTTTTTCCTCGTTTGTAAAATGCCTAATACCTCCCTCCCTAACATCACTTCCCAGAGGAAGGAAGGAAGCACTTATTAACCACCTACTGTGTGCCAAGCTAAGCACTGTTCTAAGCACTTTACAACTATTGTCTCACTTGCTCCTCACAGCAGCCCTAGGGAGTGGATGCTGTTGTGAGCCCCATTTTATAGTTAAGGAAACTGAAGCTAGCAGAGATTAAGTGACTTGCCCAGAATCACACTGCTAGTATGTGAGGCCAGACTTGAACTCGGGACTTTGTGACTGCAGGCCCAGTACTCTATTCACTGTACCACCTTGTATTTATTCTGTATAGTGGAAAGAACCTTGAATTTAGAGTCAGGCAGACCTGGAGTCAGATTCAGCCTCTGATAATTACTAGCTGTGTGAACGAACATGGGCAAATTACTTTGTGTCTCTGAGCCTGGCCTGTAAAAGGAAGATAATATTCATCCATACTACATCCGTGCAAACCTAAAATTCTGTATAAAAGTGAGCTAAAAATATAGAAACACTATATGATGCTTTGCACCCCAAGTCAAAAGATCTGAGTTATACTCTTACTCTGACAACTTATGAGCTGCATGAGTCTGCGCAAATTCACTTCATGGTCCCAAGTCTCCATGTCTTTATTCTTAAAATAAGGATTTAAAAAAAAACTTGCACTCTTTCCCTCAGAGGATTGTTGATGAAGATCAGATTAGGGGCAGCTAGGTGGTGCAGTGGATAGAGCTCCGGCCTTGGAGTAAGGAGGACCTGGGTTCAAATGTGGCCGCAGACACTTGACACTTACTAGCTGTGTGACCCTGGGTGAGTCACTTAACCCCAATTGCCTCACCAAAAAAAAAGAAAATCAAATTAAATCATATAGGGAAAATGCATTTAAATCATGCATCATTATAGAAATGTGAGATATTACACCTCATTGTTATTTAATTTATCCTCATCATTAATATCAATATCTCATTTTGTATTTCTATCTCTCAAGCCTGTAACCCTCAGTGCCTGGCACATAATAGGTGCTTAATAACTGTTCAATGGATTGATTATTATTTTTATGAGGATTCTAAGGCTCAAGGGTTAAGTGGTTAATTCATAGCCACATAATTAGTAAGTGCTAGAAGCAGAACCCAAATACAGGTGTTCCAAAACCTTCAGGTCGGCGACCTGTACCATCAGGGATAAGGTGAAAACAAGTAGGCCCTGAACAACAGCCGCAAGGGTCTCCCCTACAATAATTTAAGTGAAGTGAATTAGGGGTGAGGGGGTGGAGCCTGAAGTGAAAGGTCTATCCGCTGCTGTAATCTAGCTATCATTTCTGACTCTGGGCTATAGCAGCCATGCTAGAGGCACCGTGAAGTCACCTTGACCTCCAAGTGATGGTGTTTGTAAGGCTGAAGTCTAGAGAGAAGGACGCAGACTTGGGGAACTGTAGGTTCAAGTCCCAGAATCAGAGGAAATATTGTTCTAATCCCATGGAAGGCGCAAGGAGTGAGTAGAAGCATCTGAGATATCGGTCCCGGGAACTCAGTAACGCCAAGCATTTACTTCCTGGGATACAGAGTGGGGATATTCACCCACATCCCCAACCCTTCCCCAGCCTTGACCTAAGTCTCCTGGCCCACACCTTGGAGAGGAAAGGAAGGGTGTCTCTGCATATTCTCCTCTACTCTTTACTTAATGTCTGAGTGGCATAGAATGAAGAATATCTAGCTGCAACTACTCATCCCCAAGTCTAAGAAATCTATTATCAGGGTGAGCTGAGGGGAAGGGGGAAAAGAAGTATTTTGAGGAGGAGAGTTAAGATGCAGAATCATCCCTTACCCACCCACATATGCATTCACTCCAAATGGAGCTAGGGGGCCTCTTGATCTTAGGGGAGAGGGGAACTGTTAATCCATTTTGTATACTTAACCTTCCTACTACCCTTTTGGAATCTTTGAGCTATACATATAGCCTCCATTTTCTCATTACTCATTCACTCCTGAACTCTCAGCTTCCACTGAAGTTGTTCTCTCAAAGGTCACCAATGACCTAATCACCAAATCCATCAGACTTTTCTCACCCCTCTTGACCTATCTGTGGCATTTGATACTGACATTTCCATTCCTTCTTAAAATTTTCTCCCTTGGCTTCTAGGATACTACATTGTCCTGTTTCTCCTTTTTTTCCCCTCTATTTTCTTCATGGCTTTTCCTCCTCCTACCATCTAGGACCACCTTGGAACCCTGTGGGTGTTCTCTAAGGTTTTCTCTTTAAAATATTTTCCATTCACTGCTTTTTTTTTAATCCAGTTTTTTTTAGTTTTACCAACATGTACCAGAATTACAGGAGCTAATATCCACCTATCTACCAGACATTTCCACTTGGATGTCCCCATAATCACCTCATCTCAACACATATAAAACTGAATTATCTTCTCACCAAAACTAGTACCTGTTTCCGGCTTCCCTTGTTTTTTTCAATAATAATATTTTCCCCACGGAGGCACCCTCTGACTCATTTTTGACTCTTATGTTTTCCTTATCCCCACATCCAACCAGCTGCCAAATCCTGTAGATACTAGCTCAGAAATGTCTTGCACGTCTCATCTCTCCTTTCTATTCCTACCTCTCCTGTCCTGAGAAACTGACGCCAAATCTAGAGCTCATTCTAAATGCATCTACTGTATCAAGTGATTCAGAGGAATTAAGTATTAATAAGACAAAATACAGGCCAAGGCCTTGAGGAGCTTATGATCTAGTAGATGAAATAAGACAAAGCACACAAATAAATACAGTACAAGGCTAATGATATGCTACCTATCTTTGATACTTCAAGGAACTCTGATTTTATCCATGTTCTCACTACTAATATAAAATATAATCTCTCTAGGATCAGAGAAGTACCAATGTACAATGGAAAGAATACTGATTCCAGAATACCTGAGTTTAACTCTTATCTCTGACCCTTACTCCTTCTATGATCTTGGGCAAGTCACCTAACTTCCCTAGGTCTCAGTTTCTCCATCTGTAAAATGGGGGGCCTAGACTAATCTGTCTTCAGACACTCACTAGCTGTATGGCTCTGGGCAAGTCACTTAAGCTTGTTTGCCTTGGTTTCCTCATCTGAAAATGAGTTGAAGAAGGAAATGGCAAACGAGCTCCAATATCTTTGCCAAGAAAACCCTAAATGGAGTCATGAAGAGTCAGACGTGACTAAAAAATGACTGACAAAAATGCCGAGATATTGGGGTTGCATAGGCTCCACCTGGGGATGAGTCTCTCTAGACTTCACTAGGTTGGTTCTTGAACAGTAGGCAGAATCTGTGGATGCACTCATACTTGAGGCCTTTCCAACTTGGCAAGAAGCCTTTGAGAATCTAAAGTCACTTCCCCATTATGATAAGATCTGGGAGCAAAACTTTCAATCTATAGGATATAAAACATAAAATATTATGAGGTACAAAGGCAAGAAAGATTGAATCTTTCTTAGAGGAGGTAGCTTTTTGGAAATAAGATAGGAATGACAGGATGGGGCTATATTTGATAGAGTTTAGACTTCATTCTGTCCTTTGGCAAGTGAGAGCCACTGGAGATTTTAGAGCAGTGGAGACATATGATACTTTGACAGTGTTGTGTGAGATGAATTGTAGAGGAATAGCCTAGAGACAAGGAAACTCAAATCATAGATTTAGGACTGAAAGAGACCTTAGAAGCTATAGAAGCCTCTTCATTTTGCTTAAGATTCTTCATTTTACTGGAGAAGGAAAGAGGTTTACACCCAGGTAATAAGTAGTAGAGTCAGGATTTTAACCCAGGTCCTCTAATTTCAAAACCAGTATACCATACTACCTCTAGACTAGTTAAGAGTCTACTTTAATAGTCTAGGAGAGAGGCAATCATATTAATTACTTATTAATATTAAAAATATAGTATTAATTAATTAATTGTTAATGTTAATATAAACTAGGATGATTAGTTATGAGGACAAGGAATAGAAATAATTCAATGGTGACACTAACGTTCCAAGCCTGGATAACTTAGAGAATGGTGGTACCATTCATGGAAATTGGGATATAAGGAGGAAGACTTGCTTTGGAGATGATAGGTTTGGTCTTAGATATGTTGAATTTGAGGTTCTGGCAGGACATCCAGGTGGTAATGTCAATTAGGCAGTTGGAAATATGGTGCTTAGACTATCCTAGAGCTCAAGATAAAGTTTGTGACTGGAACTATAGATGTGGAAGTTAGTAGCATAGAAATGATGATTGAACCATGGGAATGATTTAAAGTCTAAGCCAGATAATTAAATGTCATGGATGTTACAGGTGTTTGCAGTGTGTGGGAGACTGGATGAGAAGAATTCTATGTGCCTTCCATCTTTAAGACTTTATGATTCTACTTGAGCCAGACTAGTTTGCTTGTTATTTCCAAGAAAGCTGGGCCTATCCCTACCTTCACATCTTTGCTTAGGCCATTTCCCTCCACATGGAATGTCCTCTCCCTTCACCTATTCACATTCTACTCATCCATCAAAGCCCAGCTCAGATTTTCCTTTATAATTTCTCTCCTAATCACTCCCACCCTCCACTGAACTCTTGTAACATTTATTGCCAGTTCCATCCATCTGACACTTAATATGTACTGAAACCCACATGCAAATGTGGAAAAAATGTGTAATTTTGTCAATGTGGAAGATTCCCAGGTAGAAATTCCTTCCATCAATGCAGATTATAACCCATCTATAACTTAATATCTGTCTGTCTGTCTGTCTATCTATCCCTATCTTTATGTGTGTATTGAGTGTGTATGTGTGTGTGTGTGTGTGACATGGAAAATCACTTTCACAGAAGAGTGGAAGACAGACCAGAGTGGGAAGAGATGAATGAAAATAGAGAAATTCTATGAAAAATTTGATAAAACTATCCAAATTAAATCAATATACTTTCATACTTAATGACTTTAAAGCAAAGGTGAGTATGGGGGAGGATGGCAAAAAATGTATTGGAAAACATAAGCAATGGATCAAGAAATGAAGGAGACCAAAGAATTACACACTACATAGAAGCCTCATGCCTAAATATCAAGACTACTTTAGTTAAGATGAGTCTGGAGGCAAACTCAACAGAATCATTTTTTAAAAAAAATGAAATTGACTGTATCTTAACAGACAGAAAATTTCTGCCTACTGATATAGAAATCATTTCTGAGTCAACTGTTTATATACAATCAGACCATCAATGGTTAGAGCAAAGATTTTTTAAAAATCCATGCCTAATTAAATGAAAGAATAAAAATGGGAAGAAATTATGACCAGCAATCAAAACAATTCCAACCTGATCTATCTAACCTACTTAAATGAGTTAGAGATAAAGGCACAGATATTGACATGGACTATCACAATTGCCTATAAAGAATGTAACCACTCTAAAGCAAGGCATCATGAGGCAGTGTGCTGGAGTGTAGAGAGAGCTGCCCTCAGAATCAGGATGCCACGGATTCAAGTTTCATGGCTGACACAAACCATCTGTATGATTCTGACCTTCTTGGTTCTTCTTGCAACTGTTTACAACCATAAATTGCAGAGAAGGTGCCAATCTGTATTAGCAGAAGTTCCTTCCTGGGTACTCCCTACATCGATGAAATCAAAAGTCCAGTTTTGTTTTGTTTTGTTTTGTTATTTTTTACTTGATGGAACCATAAGGTCAAAAGCATGAAGAAACCTCCTTATCCAGTAAACACTTGATCTTCTTGCCAAGAGAAGGGATGTAGCAGCCAAGAGCAACACTCGTTCAGAATATAAACTCATTTGCAAAATTGTGCAGAGAAGGATGGCAGAAGGTTATGAGGGGTAATACCTCCCATGAAGTGGGAGGAAAAATAAGCTTACAGAAAACTTGAGTTAAGACCCAATTAGGCCAGATCATCCTGAGAGCATTTAAGGATGAAACTAGAAGGATAATCAGAGACAACAAAAACAACAACAAAATGAAAGAAAAGAAGAAAACATTTGTCAAAATAAATCTTTACTGATAGTGAATCCATTGGGTTCTGATTATTAGTATCAAGCAAGGCATAAAACATGGTATGCCTGCCAAAGGCATTTGCCACCATTATGGTTTAGTGCAAAGTCCAAGGTGAAGAAACAGTCCTTGTAGATAATAGCTAGCATATGTACGGTACTCTAAGGTTTGCAGAGCACTTTGCAGGTTATCTCGTTTGACCCTCATAATAATCCTGTGAAGTATATGTTATTATTATCCCCATTTTACAGATGATGAAACTGAGTCAGAAAGTGGTTTGCTCAGAGTCTTAGAACTAGTAAGTGTCTTCGGCATGACTCAAACTCAGGACTCATAGAGTCCTGAGTCCAACCCCTCTACAAACTGTGCCAGAGAGCTGTCATGGGGAGGTGCTGTAGCTGTTCCTGCTTTAAGATCACATTGTGCTGACTGTATTAGACTCTGTCAAAGCACAGAGCCTCCTAAAGAATACCTGTAATCATTAAAAAGAGTTCAGTACAACTATCCACTGGAGAAACTAAGTCAACAAAGACTGCCTGTCGTCCAGATTAGGACATGCAGTTGGATGGACAACTCATAAAACTGGTTCATCAGTATATATATCTTGGATAGAAATGGTAAATGGACAGTGAACTGGGCCCAGAATTGAACAGGAAAAGGAGAGGTCGTATTTGGGAAATTGTGTAGGGCTTTCAATGATCCCAAGCCTCTTGAAACAAAATTCCATTTTAAAAATACCAATATTCTTCCAATGAAGTTACATGACTATAAATCATGGAATACCACTGACTTCTAGGAATGAAAATTGTACAACACCCAAAGCACAGGGAAGAGACTGATGCTGGGTCTGAATAGGCTGCAACATATTAATGACAATTAATTGCTGTGTGCCTGGTGGAGGATTTATGGAAAAATATGGTCAAGAGTCACATAGTAGGAGAATGGATTGTGGAGAAATTACAGTCCTCACCAGTGAAGATCACAGATTTGTGTATGTGGAGCCACATGACAGCTAATCAAAGTATTCACAGTTCTGAGGTGTATTTGTGTTTTAATTCCCCATTTGGAGTGTTGGCTTGTAGAGTGCAGTGTCCATGTCTTATACATCTTTGTATCTCATGGTAAATGCTCAATAAATATTTATTGAATAGATTTGTTGATGAATGAATGAAAGTCAGTGGTAGGGTTAGAAGTAGAATTAAGGTTAGGAATTAGGGACCATGCCATGATAAGAGAAAGACCATGCCTTCAGTCTTAGTCATGGATAGCTCTCCCTAACACCAAACTTAGTTCATTTTTTTCTTCTCTTCTCTTCTCTCCCCCCTTACTCCCACCCCTACAGGTGTGTCTTACTCTGACAGCCAAGCGAATGGCCCGGAAAAACTGTCTAGTGAAGAACCTTGAGGCCGTGGAGACCTTGGGATCGACCTCCACCATCTGCTCAGACAAGACAGGCACCCTCACCCAGAACCGGATGACTGTGGCCCACATGTGGTTTGACAACCAGATCCATGAGGCCGATACCACCGAAGACCAGTCTGGTGACATAAACACTGGGATGCTCACTGGCTGGGAGTGTTGGGAACTGGGAGGGAGTTGAAGGCACTAAGAGGAAATGGGTAGGGGGTAAGGAAAAAGATAAAATGGAGGACTATTTGGGTGAAGGACATGGAAAAGGGGAACCTAGTTCATGGCTCCCCCGTATGATTATCTAAGGCACCATGGGGTGAAGTGGAAGGATCTCTGGATTTAAGAGTCAGGGGACCAGGGCAGGGTGTAAAGTCACAGCTCCTCAACTAAATGTATGATCTGTGTAGCCCTGGACAAGTAACTTAACCTGCTTTGAACCTGTTTCCTAATCTGTAAAATGGGTGTAACGATACTTGAACTCCCATGCTCACCAGGCCTCTATGAGGCTCAAATGAAAATAGAACACTTTATAAAGATCATACAAAATTCTATATAAACATAAGCCATTGTTATTATCATTATCATCATCATCATCATCATCCAGGTGCCACATTTGACAAACGCTCCCCGACCTGGACTGCTTTGTCTCGAATCGCTGGCCTCTGCAACCGTGCAGTCTTCAAGGCTGGGCAGGAGAACATCTCTGTATCTAAGGTAAAGGGAGCCAGGATTGAAGGGGGAAAGGAGGATGTCAGGATTTCAGCGATGACTGTTACTGCAAAAGGCTTCCCTTATCCTTGAAAAGCCACCACAGCTTCTCCCCACCCCTTACTTTTTCTTTTTTTAATCTCCATTTTTATTGAAATACAAAAAGTGCAAATGGTGAAATACACGACTGGTGCAGAGGAAGTCACTAAGCGTGACTGTGAACTCATTTCACAGTAGAGCCCTCCCACAGAGGCAGACCGGTGAGAAAAGGTGTCTGGGAGGAAAAGGACCAGACAAGCCAAAAAGCCTCCCCGTAACAGGAAGGGAGTTGGAGGGAAGGGCTATAGGCAAATGCAGTACACAAATGAGGACAGAAAGCAGAGAGGGGCAAATAGGGACAGGTGGCAGCTTCCAGGGCCCCAGTCCTCACACTGTACCTGTAACCTCAAGAGGAAAGAGCTCAGTACCATCAGTGCGCAGCCTCAGGAAGGGCTGGCTTGATCAGGTCAGAAGAGAGAGCAAGAGATCAGCAAAGGCCACAAGGATGCTGAGCTCCAGGCAGATCTGCTCTTGCCTAGGGATGTGGGGGCAGAGGTACAATGAGCAGGAGCTACCCCACGGCTGAGGAGGAAGGGGAAAAGTAGGAAAAGGGGCAGATCAGCTCTGGACACATCATAGTGGGACGGGTCACAAGGAACCCAGCCCCCTACTTTTATAATTTGCCTCTCCTCTCAGCCCCTTCAGGGAGGTCTCAGTGATTACAGTGTGACCACAGTGACTCCATGCCCCTTTCCTTCATCCCAACCCCTAACAAACCCTCTGTGATAACTCCTGTTTTGGCAGCGGGACACAGCCGGTGACGCCTCTGAGTCCGCTCTGCTCAAGTGTATTGAACTATCATGCGGCTCTGTCAGGAAGATGAGGGATAGGAACCCCAAAGTGGCTGAAATCCCCTTCAACTCCACCAACAAGTACCAGGTACAGAGATGGTCCCAAAATGACATGGGGAGACAGATGGGACAAATGCAGGGAAGACAAGGGGGCAGAAAGAGCCTTTATCTCCATCAGGAAACAAGGGCTCTCAATAATTTATAAAGATCTGTGGGTGGAACTGTGTGTCAGGCTCCAAGGAAAAGAACACTTTTGGAGTAAGAAGGGGCTCCTGTCCTTAAGGACCTTACAGTTTAGGACAGAGTTAAGACACAGATTATGAATTTTTTTTTTATCTGAAACACAGATAATACTAAGATGTACTATTAGGTGGTATAAGAAAGATACAAAATTAAAGTTCATTGTGTAGTAGAAGGGGTAAAGTATCTGTTAGAGACTGAAGCAAATATTCACCCTCTTCTGCCTTGTATCTCAATGACTACAAGCCTCAAACACTGCCCCCCATCCTACCATATCCCTCCAGAGGAATGTACCAAAAGGAACACTAGACTTCTGGTCAGAAAGGAGATGGCTTCAGACCTCAGCTCTAATATTCACTTGCTGTGGGACCCTGGACAAGTCATTTGTCCTTTCTGGTTCACTCATTTGTAAAACAGAAATAATAATACTTGCACTCTCTGAATCATGGGGTTGTGTGTTGTGGGAAAATTGCTTTGTAGACCTTAAAGTATCATAAAAACGTGAATTGTTATCTCTAACCAGGACACTGTCCTCATTTCTTTTTATAATAGCTGCCATTTCTCTAACACTTTACAGCTTACAAAATGCTTTTCTCACAACAATTCTGTGAAATTGTTTAAAATAACATTTAAATAGCACTTTTAAGATTTAAAAGTATTATTATTTCCATTTCACAGGTGGGAAAACTGAGGCTGAGTCACATGACTCCCTGGGAGGGCATGGAATAGTAAAAAAATAAAAAAGGAGAGGGGGAGAGACAGAGAGAGAGAGAGAGAGAAGTGGATTTGGAGTCAGAAGATTTGGATTTGAATTCTGGTTCTCCCATCAACTACTTGTATTTCTTCATCACCAAAATGAAGGGATTGCAACTAGATTCCCTCTGAGGTCCCTGCCAGCTCTAAAATCTTACAATCCTTCTGCTCACACAGCAAGGGCATGATGCACTGGTTCTAGAATGAAAGAATCTGGATTCAAATCCAGCTTATTATGATGCTTGCTTTCTATGTGACCCTGATGCAAGTCAGTTAGCTTCCTTTGATTCATTTCCTCATCTATAAAATGGGTGCGCTGGACTGGCTTCCAAGGCCCTTTCTAGCTGGAGACCCATGATCCCGTGATCCTAAGAGCTGTTTCTTCTGATTTTAAATCCACTCTACCAAGCTGCCCCTGCCCCTAGTCTTCCCTTTTCCCATTGACTTTGCCTGCCATTGCCTCCTCTGCCCTCCCTGATGTCACCTCTGTCCTCTCCCCAGCTATCCATCCATGAACGGGAAGACAGTCCCCAGAGCCACGTGCTGGTGATGAAAGGGGCTCCAGAGAGGATCCTGGACCGATGCTCCTCCATCCTTGTCCAGGGCAAGGAGATTCCTCTGGACAAGGAGATGCAGGATGCCTTCCAAAATGCCTACATGGAGCTGGGAGGCCTGGGGGAGCGTGTGCTCGGTGAGGGATCAAGGGGGCGTGGGGATCAAGAGAGATAGGGCTCAGAAAAGCATTAGGGAGCCTCTCTCTTGGTATCATTGAGTAAAACCTGCTTGTAGCCTGTATACATTCCTAGCTTTTGGCCTAGTCTCAACCTCATACCTCCTTTTCCCCTCCCTCCAGGGTTTTGCCACCTCAACCTACCCTCTGCAAAATTCCCTCGGGGTTTCAAGTTTGACACAGATGAACTGAACTTCCCCACAGAGAAGCTTTGCTTTGTGGGACTCATGTCCATGATTGACCCTCCCCGGGCTGCTGTGCCTGATGCTGTGGGCAAGTGCCGAAGCGCAGGGATCAAGGTACCAGTCCTCTCCCCTCCCTTCCCCATCCCCTTCCCTTTCCCTTTCCCCTTTTCCTTCTCCTTCCTCTCCCTTCTCTTCCTTTTTCTTCTTTCATTCTTCCCTTAGAACCAAAGATCTTGAGGCTATTGCATTGAGACATTCAAGATCATACTCACAGCTCCTAACCATTCATTCTCCAAGCCTTGAGTGCTTGTACTCTCCCCACATAGATAATGGAATCACTCCCTGGGGGAGGCTCTCACAAACAGCTGGACACGATCTGGGAAGCTATAGCTGCACAAGCTAGGGGTGCTCCCAGCAGGGCTGATTCTCTATGCCCCCTAAATCAAGCTTCACTCTAGGAGTAAACATCAACCCCTTGGGAGTCTACACCTGGACTAGTCCATACGCTGTGAAGTACGGGCATCAGAACATCCTCTTACCATTCACTCTCACTGATCACTACTATCTTGTCTTTCCTTCTAAATCACACACTTTTGCTAAAGTCACTCAGACCATACTAATTGTACATATTTTATTCATCATACACTCTGTGTATACCCTCTACATATTCAGTCCCAATCATCCGGAAGCCAGATCTCCTACCATCACGCCAAAAATTGTCACCACCATCAAAGAAACATTTTAAATTCCCTAAATAGCCAGGGAGTTTGGAGGCATCATTATCAACGGCAAGCAGCTATGTGCTCCCATGCTGCCTTCCCGGCACTGCTATCTGCTTTTCAACCAGCTTATACCCCGAGTCTTCTCTGGGGTTGAGCCCTTTGGTTGTTCCTCTCTGCAGCTGAGAGGAGGATCTGTCCTTCCATGCAAAGAGCATTGGCTCCAAAGTCAGAGAACCAAAACCTACCTCTGATTCTTACTCCTTTCGTGAGCTTAGGCTCATAACTTACTTAAATTCCTTGGCTTTCAATTTCAACTGTAAATGAGAGGGTTGGGCCAGATGGCCTCTGAAGTCCCTTCCGTTTTAAATAGAGAGGTAGGATAGGAGAACATATAGAAGGATGGATTGGAGTCAGAAAGATCTGGGTTCTAATTCTGCCTCAGTTACTTACTATCTGTGTGGGCAAGGCAATTAACCTCTCTGCATCTCAGTTTCCTCATTTAAAAAATGAGATGGTGGAACGTAATGATTTCTAAGGTCTTTTCCAACTCTAAATGTATGATTTTATTCTCTATTTATCCCTTGATCCTCCTGTGGAAAGTTAACCCTTGCCTTTGTATTCTCACTTCAATCCCTTTTATTAAATCAATTATTTTTTTTCCTGAAAAAATTTACCTCTCCATTGCTACCATAATTTATTGTGTAGACTCATATATGTTTAGAGTAGGAAAGGACCTCACGTACCTTCCTCTCTGCTTATAACAAGCAATGCATGAAGAAATAGGAGGCTGCTGGGGCAGGTAGGTGGTGCAGGGAATAAAGCACTGGCCCTGGAGTCAGGAGGACATGAGTTCAAATCCAGTCTCAGACCAGACACTTGACCCTTACTAGCTCTGTGACCCTAGGCAAGTCACTTAACCCCATTTGCCTTGCCAAAAAACAGAAATAGGAGGCTGAACCAGGAAATAACCAGTCAGATTAAATATGCCTAAGAGTCTCTTCCTTTTCTATTCTATATTTGACCTCTACTTTTAGCAGTTCACAGCTGTTGGGGTGAGGCCCCTTCCACATTTTTCTTCTTAAGCCACTGGCCTTTGTCTAGCTCAGCCACAAAATCCTCTTCTTTTCTCTTAGTTAGTGAAGACATATGTTAGGTTTTTCAATAACATTTATAGGGAAATTAAACTTAGCAGAACATGGCGGGAAGTGCTGTGAAATACCATCATCATCATCATTGCCATTATCATCATCATCATCATCATCATAACAGCTTATATTCCTATATCGCTTCAAGGTTTACAAAGCATCTTACGTATGCTATCTTGTTTAATTCTCACAACAACTCTGTGAGAAGGGTACTACAATCATCCCTGTTTTACAGATGAAGAAACCAAGGTTCCCAGAGGCTTAGTCACTTGGTTACATGGTCAGTAAGTGATAAGATGAAAAAAGCCAGGTCTTCTGGCTTCAAATCTAGTGCTCCATCATGTATAAGAAAGTCCAGGGCACAGATGAAGGTTCCTAGGCTCAGATCTTGGGAATGTTTTTATTTAGTGGCTCAGATGGAGAACTTTGAGAAAGGCACAACAAGACAATTAAATCAACCATTTCCTGCTTGGATCAAATCCAAATCCCAGAGTGTAGGGAGTGCAGTATCTTCCCCTTACAGCCTCCTCATTCCTTATTCATCCGTTAAGGCAAACCTGTGACTTGTCTACTTTCTATGTCTTACACTGTCATCTGTGAACTACTATGTGTAGAAACCACAGCATCTCCTTTGGTTCACCAGCTCCATCCTCCTTTGTGTTGCATCCTCATGACTGAGCGGGCTGGATCTCTTCTAGCTATCATGTGGCATAGTGAATATAGCACTAACCAGAGAGTCAGGAATACCTGGGTCCAAATCCTACCTCTGACATTTATTTTACTAGTCATATGGACATAGGTAAATCACTTAACCTCTCTGAGTCTCAGTTTCTCTGTCTGTAAAATGGGGATTATAATACCTGTGGTACCTTTGCTATTCTCCATGGTCTTTCAGCTAGCATAGAAAGCGGCTCAACTATCACATTTACCAGTTCTTTCAACACCTGAAGATGTGGTTCTATGGAGTTGTAAGGGTGGGTGGTTATGAGGCTCAAATGAGATAATTGTATGCAAAGTGCTTTGCAAATTGCAAAATGTCGCATGAATGTCAACTGTTATTATTGTCTGCCCTAGGGAATAATATATGTATATGTATGTAGCATTTGCATGTACATATAGCACTTTATGATTACAAAGTAGTCTTATATATACATACACATATTATGTATGTATTTATATGTGTATTTGTATACATATGCGTGTATACACAGTATATATATGCTCATATGTATACTTATGGGTATTTGTATACATATGTGTATATACATAATATATGTATACACATATATATAGGATATCTACATATATATGTATAGTATATGTTGTTTATCTGTATGGATATAGTGTATATGTATATTATATGTATGTTTGTGTTTGTATATAATCTCATTTGATCCATGGATTAATCCTATGAGATAATCAAGGTCAATATTATATCTTCATTTTATAAATGAAGAAACCAAAGCTGAAAAAGTTAAGTGAAAGGCACTACATGGTGTCATGGAAAATAGAGATAGAAGCCAGTCATAAAACTCATGGCCTTAAGTGGCAAATATACAAAAATGCACAGTCTAGGCAAGAAACAGAAGTAACCAGAGCTCCAATGCAAGGAGTCAAATTGGACATTATAGTTATTACTTAGACTTGGTGGGATGAAATCAGGGACTGAAATTCATAAGAGTATACCTTGGAGGGACATTGTGTCATAATGGCTAGAAGGCTGGCCCTGGACTCAGGAAGACCTGGGCTGCTTTGGCTATATGCTTGCTATGTGTCCACAGGCAAGTCATTTAACCTTTCATCTGTCCAAGTGACTGTATAAGTTGCCAATCTATATCAATGCAGAAAGTTTTCACACCAGGAATTCTCCAAACTATTGTGATCACAAATCTGGAGCAAAAAAGTAAAAAGGGTACACCATAGATAAAAGAAAAATGAAAGATGAAAGAGGGAGATACAATAATATTGAATATTGAGGAGATAGACTCAAGTGAGGAAATTTAGGAACTAGAGAGGAAAAGCATGATGGAGAGTGAAGGCAGATGGAGGGAGGAACAAAAGAATATTATCATCTGAGCACCTGGACAGACAGAGCAAATAAAGGAAGAATACAGGAAACAGATCACAAGCTTGGCAGAGATACATGATTGAGTAGTGATGGAGGCCTTCAGTTATCCAGACATGTTTGGAGCTCTCTCTCTCTCTCTCTCTCTCTC